AAAAAATACATTGTAAATAATTACATACTTTTTCTTAAAAACAAATTTTTTTTTTTTACTAATTGATTTGTCTCATTATTCTGTACATAAAAGTGTTAGGGTAAGATTATCGAAAACTAAATATTTTACGAGATATTTTAATTTTTATATCAAAATATGTCAGATTAAAATATAAAATAACTCAAAAAGTACTTAATGAAAAAATACTTTATTATAGTGTTTGGAAAAGCTCTCGAGGTAAGCAACAAGAATATGCAATAAAAAATAGGGGATATCATTTAAAAAAATTAAGTTGAATTCCATATGATCTTGGCACGTTTACTCAAGGTCAAACCAATGACACCATCTTATGTCCCCCTTCGAACCAAACAACTTTTGTCTAAAATGTTTTTCCATATCTTTCATATTTTTCGAGATATTTGCCTGGGGCGATTAAAATGAAACACCCTATATATAATATATAATATGTACATATATACATTCGCAAACGTTCCTTTTGAATAATTGCGTTTAATTAAAACAGCAAATACAAATATTTACTTTCTAAATTTTGTAATTTCGCAGAGTAAAGCGACATATGAGCGAACGAACGGACGAATGTATTTAGATCCGAGAAAATTCGAGACCGCTGTATTCGGATGTGGACAATCATTATAGTAACATTGTAGGAACATTGGGAGGGAATTTGGGGAAAATTTGTTACCATAGGAATTCGTTATTACATGTAATAATGTAATCCACATATTGACCGCGCTTACAGGTCGTGTTATCGATATTTTTGCATAATTTTTAAGAAGATTACATAATAACTCCTAAAAATTTCTTCGGCGGGATAACATTGCAATTTTTATATGATTTGTAAAAAAAGCTAATTGTTATAGACCTAGACTAATTATATTATAGGCTATAATTAGAAAACAATTACATGTACAAAATGCATTATTGAAAATATAAAAGTGAGAAAAAAGTTCTCATGATTTTGGCTTTTTTGAAGCCATAAGAAACTAAATAATCTTTAATAAAAGATGTAGTTTCCATAAATGTAGATGTAGATAATAAGTCTTTATTATTCATTTAATTTCAAAAGGATTATATTTGAAGAGAATTTTAATGAGACGTTTAATTATTAAGATATTTAATGTTAGAAACTGCAGAAAAGAGGGAGAAGTTAACAATAAGTATAAAATTTATATGTATATATAAGTTTTTCTACATATAGGTTTTCAATATCATTCATAATTTGCGAATATTAATAAATCTAATATTATAAAATCTAATTAATAGTTTAGTGTTATAATATTATGTCAGATGGATAAATAATCAACAAATTACCATTCCCGATAATTTTTCGCATATGAAAGTACCGTGTATTACAAATCACTCTTTTGCGTAATGATACAATGGTTCATCGTGAGCTGTGATGTGATCTTGTAATATCGCTAATGGCCATGGGGCATAATATCTAGATTGTAAAATAAGTGTAAAAGGTATGATACTAATTAGCGTAGTACAGCTTTTTGTGTGATCGATTAAATTACCTCCGTCCGATAAAAGTTATCAAGGAAATTGTGAAAGATATCGATATAATTAATGTATACGAGCTTTGCTGAACACTTTGGTAAATGCGTTTGGTGGAAATTAACGGTGATTTTCAAATTTTGTGCAAAATATTTTATCCGTTAAGGAAACGGCTGTTAATATTGTTTATTAGATTGCTTTATTACATTGCTTGATGCCATAGAACTCTCGAATTCAATGATGATAGATTTTCTGATAAATATAAAATTTATTTTAGATCATGTTTATTTTCCCAAAAGTTTGTTTCTCGAAAAATAATGATCTATTTTTAATTTGCTTATAATAATCAGGAACTATGCGATATGTCTTGAATAAACAACTAATTTTTGGCATAAAAGTCGATGATGGAAGTTTTGAAGTACTCTCTATATGAATCTCTCTTTGTATCTAACGATATGAGAAATCAATTTTTAACATGGATATAAAAATTTACGATAGCGAGTGATTTTGTTTCATCAAATTTTGTCATCAAATTAGGAATGTTTTGGATGTACAATAGTAGCAAAAAAACTGTGTTAAAATTTAAAAAAAAAACATATTTCTTACATTTATACTGTTTAAAAAATCAAATAAATAAATCCGGATTATAAAAAAAATTAAAATATTACAACAATAATATGGTTTTTAACGTCGTAAAAGAAAATAGTTGTAATTAATATTTTTCCTAATTTGTGACAAAATCTTTTGATTGTGAAAATCGTCTGAAATCAACTACAAGAAACAAAAAAAAAAAAAAAGAAAACGAATGATTTGCAGAAAGAGAGAAAATATTTTTTTACAATTTTTAGTAAATAACTTTTAAACAAGTAAGTGGATCTAAATCAAATTTTGCACAAATATTTATTGTAATTTTCTTAATGTGAAAATTTTTATTTTGTTGACATTGTTTTTTCCTTGTCAAATTTATCAATAAGTGCTACAATACGCGATTTTCTATAAGAATCAATACTAACTTTAAACTAAAACAATTTCCAAACCGTTAAGAGAATTGTGTTGGTTTTGCATAGATACTCAGAAGAAATAGTAGAACAGTCTACAAAATTTTCATGCTTTTGTCATTGTTTTCATATATGACACATACATTCTTAAAGAACGAAGGATCGAAACATTTTTCGCGCCGCGCGTGTTCCGAATGATCCGACGTTACGATGAACGAGAATCGATTTAATTGTCTCATGCTATATATAGAAAGACATCTCGGCTCTTATCTGAGACAATTAACAAGACTGACGGGCGTCCGAAAATTCTGACGGCCCGTCTCAACGTCGTGGATCGATCCCGATATTATTCCTCGAAGATGGTCGTTGGCCGTGCCGCTTCATAAATCGTTCGATTTATCGTTGCTGACTCACCGCGATCCGTTCGCGGCACGTTTGCTGCCCGCAAGGGGTACTCGCCGACCCCACCGGGCGGCACAGGTGAGCTATGGAGAAGCCAGACCTCGAAAATTGTTGAGGATATCCTGTACGATAATCACGGATATAAGCGACCATGATCGAGCAACTATCGTTGCGCGTCCTTTCTCGAGCGAAATATCGTAGCTTAGATTATCTCCATTTATTAATGAACTTTTATTTTGACAAATAGATTGATAAATGTGTAACATTATTTCATGTGTGTGCAATATTATAAGCAATATTATTTTATATTCCATTGTGTAAAGAAATCTATTCCAAATTCTTCACTCATTATTTTTCATATCTATGAACTTTCTTCTTAATTAATTTAGAATACAATTTTTAGGAGTTATGATCAAGCTTTTAGATAAAAACGAATAAAGAAAAAAAACTTATTGCTTAATTAATTTCACAAGTTTGTTTTATTTCATAAAAATTGATTTATCTTGATTTATCCAGTTTTATTTAATTTTATGAATTCTTTTAAAGGTTAAACGTTGCCACGTGTATTAAATTTTGAAAAAGAAGTAATGCTCAATCAAATTATTGCTGTTGTATATAAAAAAAGATATGAAGAATTTGAAACACCATATATTTTTTTTTATATAAAACGGAATATAAAATGATATTTTTAATAAAATTTAAATATAATTTAGTTATAATATAAATATGAAGGCAAGCCTGATAAACATAGTTATGTAAATGCCTCCAAAATGATTTCCACGTATTTGTTTACTTGTTCGGAAGGAAATATGACATTTATTTTCGATATATTTCGTAAGCCAGAGTAAAATGTAATTTATATATAAAAATATACTTTTTAACATCCTTTTTTATGTGAGATTTTTTATATATATGTAGTAAAAGTGGAAGCGTACTTACGTCAAAGTCAGCAGAGCATTTTACAAGATCCGGAGGATGGCCGGAGTATAGCTTCAAAGATTGCAGCAAACCCTTTAAATAAATAGCCAGGAAATAGTAGACTATCGTACGACATATAGGGTTCATTGTCTTGTTTCACGAATCTCTTTCTGCTACGTTTCTGCTACGTTCTTTCTTCCTCTCGTAAGCGACACTATTCGCAAGTTCGCATTATAAGGCACTTGTAAAATATCAGATTTTAAAAAGAAGATATAAATATAACAATAAAGATATATATATATATATACATATATATTTTATTATATATACCGACATTGTACTTTGGTATTAAGAGGGTTTTTAGCCAAAAAGGATATCATCGATTTATCGTATTGAGAAATAATATAAATCGCATATCTCTCAGATTAATATAGTTTGCAGTTTGTGATTTTTTAGCAACATCTAGCTTTCTAATGACAAATCAATTAAATCGATCGCATTTTTTGACATAAGTCAATAACTCTATCTAATAAGTATAAAAAATATTGACTTTTAAATATGCATGCAATATATTAAATAATGCATTGTTTCTTATAACTTTGTATGTGCTACCGAGATTATCGCAATTTATGATTCCCGTATTTTTCAATACACACTACTGGAGAAAATCGGTGATTTATCTCCACACACAGGCAACAATTCCAGTCTTCTATTTTGGAAAAAGGAACCGGCATGCTGGGACGATGCATCGATCATTCTGAAAGTGTTCATGGGATCGATCGATCTTTCTAAATGGCCCGCAGTAACGCGCTTTACGGTGCATTTTACGGTTTTCGGTCGGTGCAAAAGCTTGTTTTCTTTTTTTTTCTCTTCACCGGTCATGTTAGTCCGCTGCAGTTGTAATACTTTTTTTCCGTTCCCGAAACAACTGCCGCGGATTTGTACAGTTGAAAAGTCGTTCCGGATTGTACCAGCAATGTTCATCTATCCCTATCCACTTGGCCGATAAAATATTTTATGAAGGAAAACGTACTACCAGCGTAACAAATCATCATTATATTAATGTTTTAACTATCTCACACACACAAATGTAAATCATATTTTTTAAAATTTAAAGAAGTGAGAGTACGATTTTTTATATATATATATATATATATTTGCAGAAAATTATAAAATATTTTCTACATTTGTTAATGTTGGATAAGCAGGCCCTTTTATATATTAAATATAAAATGTACGGGTTTGACGGGTAAATAAATTATTTTATTTTCGTGGATTCTCACACCGTAATTAAAAACGTTCTGAAATTTTAAAACGCGTTATTAATAAATATTTCCAAACTCATCTGGATTTTTTATTAATTTATTTAACAATTTTATTTAACAAAAATTAATATAGTTAATATTTAGCAATTTTATCATTAAACACATAGGCAGGACGTAAATTTAAATGTCGAAAAAATGAATGACGGTCTCGTACAACAATTTTTTCATAGTAGCTGTTTATCTGTATTGCGAAGTAATAAAAAAATGTCAGACACTGTGCACTAACAATTTCGATCGTAATCGATTGATGTCACCAACTTCCGATTATCTACCGCTACGAACGTTCTGCGCGAGATGTCTGAGGACGACTGTGTTATGGAACGTCAGTCGTCTCGAAAGCTATAGTCTGCTATAAAGTGTAGAAGGGAGGGGAAGTCTGCTCATGCGAATCGTTTATATTCGGCATGTATAATATCTAAAATCGCATGCTCGATACAACCTGTTGTAAATTTTTTATTTCTGTCAGTATTAATTCGGGTGTATTTTATGTATACGAAAATATTGAAGAGATTAATGGACGATGTATGTTTGAAAAATATTGAGAATTATTTAGATTTAAATCGATGTGTTTAAATTTTAAAAGAGGAAGAACAGAAAAGAATTTAAAGGTTTCTGAATGTCGACATCTCTCGATATGCTGACATAAAAAAGTAATACCTATATACATTTATATTAATGATTGATATTTTAATGTTTTACAAATTGAAATAGATATTTTGATCTGTATTTTATATATATATATATATATATATTCTGTGCACAAATAAAAATTATCAAAATGCTTTACAATAAATTATCAGAAGTGTGACGTTTTTCGTTTTGATAAAAATTATAAGGAGTCAAAATTCTTCTATACGTAAATGTTTTTAAACTAGCTTATTATATGCTGAATAAACGTGTTACATTTGTAAATAATTATAAAAAGTACTCTTCAATAAAGCTATACTTTATTAAGTTATTATCCTATTTTGTTAAAAGATATATTTAAAAATTATGTATATATATAACAATTGCACTCATTAATATTAATTAAATAAATTCAATTTATGCTGTATCTGATATACGATATATATAATGACATAAGATTTATTATAACAAAACGCAATATTGCATATATCATCGTGTCATCGTAATCACACTGGAAACAAAATTTGCTGCGCGTTAAGACTTTGAATCGGTCATGGCAATATGTTGAATTATGACATCAGAAGCGAGAATTCATGTATATTTCAGAACTTATAAATTTTCTATTGCATCAATCCTCGAAATAACTGAAATCTTTTGCATATTATTAAAACAGTAGACTTAATACAGTAAATTTTTTCCTGATCTCCCTCTTTCTCTCTAAGTTTATCTTACACACATTTCCAATAAAAAATAGATTTTATAACAAATAATTAAATTTGACAGCTGTTTATTAATTAGAAGTCAAAAAGAAAATTAATGGCATAATTTAAAAGTCTATTGCTTCGTATATTAGCAATGAAATAGCAAAGAAGTTATTTCAGTATCAGCAGCGAAAAAATTTTTATTATTCATTTTATTATGTCACAATCCAATATAGCTGCAATGATTTAGAGCCTTGACGTAATCTTTAATGATACTAAATGTGATTTTAAATTAGCGTGCTAAATTATAACGATTAACGCTGACAATTCTCGTCGATATTGAATTAACGATAAATAGCGCAACAAATATCAAGAAGAGGATTTTATTTCACATTATTTACCTCACAGTTTTTGCTACGAGGTAACCACAGGCGTGCACTCCATTATATTCTCTTTTAATTTATCAAGCCAACGTCAATTATTTTGCTTAGGAAAGAATATGCGGCTCTCGGTCGAAGTTAGACAAATTTAATCCTGCGCGCGAAAGCAGCCCGAAGCGCGCGGATTGAGAGACGAGATAACAAGAATAAGCTTAATTTTCGTCGAGTTATTAGAGTACGAGGAGAGAAAGAGAGAGGAATTGAGAGCGTACACCGCGAGGATTATTGTGCGATCCATAAAATCCGGGCTGGACTGGGTTATCAAATATTTAGAAGAATTTTCCGAGCGTATTTGACTAAAGATAGAGAGAAAGAGAAAGAGCGAGAGAAAGAAAGAGAGTATGTTCTGATCGTGCTTTATATATAGCGGAGTTCCTTGCAGCTGCCCACTTCAAAAGAGCCCGGGCAACGAGTGCATGGGAAAGTCTGTGAAACTTTAACAGTATCTTAAATACTTAACTTCCACCCGCATCGATCCTAAACTTAGCAATGGAATTAACCGTAACTCTTCCACTTACAAATAGCCTTCATATTCGAAATTTGTAACTCATCGTTCCTTTTTGTTGTGATAAATGCGGACAACGATCTGGTTACAGCAAAATTTAATTGCATGGATGTTTTCGTGAATAAAGTCAGGTAAATACCCTTAATTTTATTCTACGATTATTATTTTCGTTATTCTCGCTCTATAAAAAAATAATGTAACATTTTTTTATGCTCATTAACTCATTATCTATCAAACTTTTAAAATTAATATTTTTCCATGAGAGATTTTATAAAATTTCTCATTTTCTCTATCCCATCTCATATCAAAAAGCGTTATTGAGTATTTGAAATCTATCAGTGACTACTAATAATATCTTGATCAAAAATTTTAAGCTTGAAAATATTCTTATAATAGACGGGTTTTATTTAACTTAAAAGTGAAATATGTGCGTGTGTGTGCGCGCATCTCTCTTTTAATTGATTTATTATTCGTCTCCATTTTCTCTGTTATATTAAAAATTGAAGATTTTTTTTATCAACAATCTGGGATGCATTTTTGTTTTATAATGTTATTTTAGAATGTTATTTTAGAATGCTTTTTGCTTTTCTTATTTTTAACAGTTGAATTACATTGTTCGTACAATTTATCATTGCAAAATTCAATATAAACGATTGAAATGAATCACAATTGGTAGTATAAACGAAAATGAATAGATTTGTGAAATATATATGTGTTTATATGATAAAATATTCACTTGATAGATTGGAAGCTCAAAATAATTCTTTCTAATGAAACAAGAATTTAATAAAACTCAGTGCAAGAGCATCCTGGTTAATGAATAGATTAATTTCGGCGTAAAATAAAATATTTGCAACGAATGGAACGTTTATATGTCACACATACAATTGATCATGACTGTAAATGTCAATACGTATAATGCGTTCCGTGATTAGTACGAGAAATTGGTTCGCGATACCTGAATTAAACCAAATTATGATTTACATACGCGTATTTCGGACTGCATTATGTTAAACAATACTGATTGCTACTTAAGCGTTAAATGATTAAACTAATTATACACAGAAACGTTAATTCATAGACGGCAATTCTACTGAATCAAGATAAACATATTTCCGAAACTTATGCATGTTACTCACATCAATATTTCTGATTTTTTTTTAAATTAAAAATACAAATAAAGTAATTTTACTTTTCAATATATAATTTTCATTAACTTTGAAATATCGATGGTACCTCAAAATGTAGTAGTAAGCCAATTTTTTAAAATTGCAACAAAGTAAGCAATAATCTTTTGTTACGAATTTTAATCCTAATCTTCGATAATCCTAACCTCGAATTTTCAAGTTTGTCAATAAAAGAATTTAGAAAATGCTATAATTTTTAATTTACGCACGCAAATTTTATCATCAATAACTGCGAGTCGGAAAGGAAAAAGAAGGGAAGAGAATGAACGTAGAACAATTAGAGCTTATTTCGTTAACCGGTATGATTA